ATTCTATCCATATTCTCTCGGGACAATTTATTTAAATCTTCAATAATAATAACATTTTATCAACGACTATAACTTTTGTATATGACAGTTTATTTCATACTGTATCATATGTAAACTACTGTAATAAAAGTGTCATGTCTGTAATATCATCAGTTGTAGTGTATCATAACTCTGATTTCATTGTATATACTAGCACTGGTTAAAAGTCGGTTTTGTTAATTTTCACGAACTCCTGGATGAGTTGACAACAATTTCAGACAAGCTTCTCAGTTCACATTCGTTTCACGGTGGCAGTGGTGATGTTATGCACCTAAGTGGGCATGTTTATATGTGTATACATGCGTGTGTGCGTGTGTATATGTATATACGTGCGTGTGTGCATGCGTGCACATGTGTGCGTATGTATGTGTGTGTGTATAGTCGTGAGGTGATGCACGTAAGTAAAAACGTTGTATTTGTTGAAAATACTTGCGCATATATATATACACATATATCAGGTAATTTTGATGGGAGAGTTTGCGAGCGATTGAACGATGGTGATTTGCGTTTGAGCGGTCGAGGAATTTTTTATATTCGACAGTCATACGGCTGCTCGAGTTTCATAACCTTGCCAGCAAATTGTCTGCTGACCGCCTTCTTCTTACCTGGCTGGCTTTTCTTAATACGCAAAATATGCGCTATTACGCGAGATTTCTCCTCGACGAAATCGTTGTCGACAATACTCATTACAACACTTTTGACATCATCGCCATTTACAATTGCGGTAGCTTGTTAGATACGTGCGCTTAAAGTGTAACGTGACAACATTTTGACGTGGGACGTTGTCGTCCCACGTGTAAGGTGCGTGTGTTACGCAATTCGTAAGATTTACGAGCTCAGATGGCATGTTAGGCTATTAATGTATAATGTGATCAGTGATGATGATACATTCATTTGTGAGCAACATTGTTGCATGCGCTCCTTCTATATTTCACTTCAATGCAGTTGAATATTGTCATCGACAGGACACAACGGAGACACTGAAAGACATATGAAGGTTATGGGGATGCTATCCCGGTGGAGTATGAAGAAAATAGGACATGATGAAATGATAACAATTGATAATAGCAATGTTGAAATGTTATAACCTAATTTACAAAACAGTTGCCATTACTCAATCAATTAAGTATCACTTACGACATTAGTAGATATGTCAGATTCTGACATGTCTGTAGGGGCAACTTCAACAGCTGAGATCTGGGTTGGATTCTGCAATGACAAAATAAATAATACTATTTTCACATCAAGTCTCGTAAATATCTTTCCCAATTACCAATAAATATGAGCTGCAGTTTCAATGTGGTTTATTAACCCTGAATATGTAAATTTATGTCACTGATTTTGTAAGGTTGGATCCTTACACAGTATGTTCTCCTGGCCGTCTGGTAGAATGGAGCCTCGAGTCTATCCCAGGCAGCCCTTATATATGCTTGCCGTGAATCCTGGGTCGAAGCCTGTATCGAATCCTGTAGTACGGCATCGACTCGTAGGTGACGGTATAGACACCTTACACTCTCCCCTCCTTCGGAGCAGAGTCCCGGCGGACAGTCTGTAGTACAACTGTAGTACATGCTCAATGCACTAAGTACACTTCCCACAGCACTGGGCATGTGTTGCTGCTACCATTGCCCATAGCACAACACAATCGTTCGCGCATAACTGGCAGGATACTTTGTTCTTCCCCTGCCGAGTTATGCATCTACTCGGACGTATTTACATGGAATACGTGTGGCCCATTATCCGACCTGTTTTAGCTGGTCGATATGGCACACACGCTCTTCGTCATTAGCGTCAGCTAGAATAGCTTTCAAGGGTGACGTCGTTCGCAGCACCGTATAGGGACCGTGGAACCGGGGGGTTAGTTTCGCACCGAAGTTCTTTCGTGCATCCGACAACGGGTGTTCCTTTAACATAACTCTGGCCCCTGGAGAGATTGTGCTGCCCCGACGGTGGGTGTCATAATATGCCTTAGATTTGGCTGCTGCGGCCTGTTGCTTGGCCTTAATCTGCTTGTACAGCGGGTTCGAAACTCTCTCCTCCCCCCCCCCAACTGGAGGTCAAAATAAAAACATAATTTTCGCCCAAGAAAAATCTCCGCCGGAGTGTATCCGGTATGGGCATGTTTCGCGGAGTTTAAGGCAAACTGCAAGTCCGACAAATGCACATCTTGTATCGAAATACAGTACTAGTACCCGCCACTCGCCCCCAAATGCACGTCAGCAACTGTATCCGTGAGTTCGACCTGCACGCTGTTGTTGGCTGATTCCGTTCCCGACACTAGATGAAATCATAACATGCACGATAATAACACTCGCCAAAATGTCACGTCCCTGCAGATTGTACTACGTATCTCGAATACGACAAAGAAGAGAGTTATTAACAAAACCGGTATAAACCAATTCGAATCACATGCACGACCAATTAACTCCCTAGCGCCATGTCGAATTTACCTTCACCGCTAGTTGGAACAAATTTGCCATATATCCCGTAGACTGGGTTTATTTTAGTTTGTTGTAGGTTGGCCAACTATATATAGCTGACGAATTCACTGTCCATATGTGCTTACACAGCGTGTGAGTTCTTCAGTCACCTTAAACAGTAAAAGAAAAAGAAAAAGAAACATTCTGAATAAAGTAAAGTTCGATACTAATCGATATTTACACCCTTTCTTTCCCACCAGTGCACGTCATGAGAACATTATACATATATAGAATACAGGAGTCTATCAATACAGTGTAGCCCCGTTGTAACGCGATGGTGTTCTCGTCTAACGAGGACGATGACGTTACCCGGTTCAAAGTAGATTTGTTGTAAGTTGAAAGTGAAAAGGAAAACTCCAAAGTCCAAGCAGTTGTGTTCAGCAAATAGTATTTTTGTTTCTCAACATTTCGTTAATAATTTTGTTTTTGACTAATATGATTTGTGTATAGTCGTGGAGAACAAACAGTCACCGCAGTAAAACTTAAACTATAATGAAATAACTTACTGGGAGGGGCCGCCTCAGGCACGTGGCCAGATAGCTCAGCACCGCCGGTGGTGGATGTGTCTGAAAGATTCACAAATTAACAGAACATGTTAAAAATGTTTCTTGTTTCAATTTATGTCAGACGGTGTAAAGTCAAAACTACTGTTGGGTGCGACTTGACTAAATCTACAACTACTAACAGCATTAACTATAATTAAAACATGAGTTATGATGTTAATAGAAATATAATTATGATATTAATATAGGGGGTCCACTTACCGAACAGTCTCCTCTTGAGTGGCTTTGGCTTCAAGGTGCGGGCGCTGGGGGTTGTGTAACTAGGAAGTCGTGTGAGCGTGGGGGTGGTGAGCGTGAGGGTGTCTTGTGTGAGCGGGGAAGGGGGTCGTGTGAGCGCGTGGTGGGGGAGGGTCACGCCTCCTGCTGCGGACTGGGGGCGTGGCGGAGCAATAAGCACATGTTTGTCCATGATGAGATGAAGGGGTGAGAGGGGGGGAGGAAGGAAAGAGGAGAGAAAGGAGGGAGGGAGAAATGCAGACAGATATGTGCATACGCATGCGCAGTACACACGCGCCGACAACCGGCAACCGACGTACGTCACAAACGGCAGACAGACAGGCACGGATGCATATATTCCTTCTTTTATAGTTACTTCTCTCGACTTCTCGTTCACCCTTTCCCTCTCAGTGACTCTTAAACCCCCTCCCCCCATCTCTCTCTTTCTCTCTCTCTCTCTCTCTCTCTCTCTCTCTCTCTCTCTCTCTC